GAGAGAGCGAGAGAGAGAGAGAGAGAGAGAGAGAGAGAGAGAGAGAGAGAGAGAGAGAGAGAGAGAGAGAGAGAGAGAGAGAGAGAGAGAGAGAGAAGGGAAAGACCAAATGAAGAAGGAGAGAGAGAAATGAAGGGAGATGGGAGAATTGAAATGCATAAAGAGAAATATAGAAAGCGGATAGATAAAAGGGGGGACGGACGAAGATATGTATGTATGTATATATATATATATATATATATATATATATATATATATATATATATATGTATGTATGTATGTATGTATACACACGAACACATACACACACGCACATAAATCTCTCTCACACACATACACACACGCACACACACACACGCACACACACGCACACACACACACACACACATAAATCTCTCTCACACACATACACACACGCAGACTCACACACACACACACACACACACACACACACACACACACACACACACACACACACACACACACACACACACACACACACACACACACGCACGCACATAAATCTTTCTCACACACATACACACACGCACGCAACGCACACACACACACGCACACACACACACACATAAATCTCTCTCACACACATACACACACGCAGACTCACACACACACACACACACACACACACACACACACACACACACACACACACACACACACACACACACACACACACACACACACTCTCTCTCTCTCTCTCTCTGTATCTGTGTGTGTGTGTGGTGTGTATCTATGTATGCATACTGTATATACATCAACACACACACAATTACATATCAAGAGATAGACAACGAGAGAGCGGGAAGACAGAATGGGAAACAAGGGAGGGACTGAGAGAGGATGGAGGAAAGGAAGGACACAGGGAAGAGGGAACGAAGGAAGAGAGACAGAGGGAAGGAAGGAAAAGAGACAGAGCGAAGGAACATCACAAAGAAAAAATATTTTCGGTCCTCACTTTACAAGAAGCAGCAAGCGTCTATGGGTTACGAAAGCAGTGTATTGAGATCGGTCCATTAAATATTAATATATTTGGTGTTGAGAATGGAGTAATAAATTTATGACTAATTGAGATATGTATTATTATTATCTTCTTTTTTTAATATATATATAGAGAGATAGAGAGAACACATATATACGACATAGTCAGGTAACAAACACCAACGGTATTGGATTCAAACAGTTGGTCCGTTTTTTTTTTTAATGTTTGTTTTCTTCTTTTTTTCATAAAATTCCAAGTGCCAATATATTTCTTTAAACTTTACATATTTCTGTCTTTTTCCATGAATTCTATTGCATTGTCATTTTGACTTATCAAACGATTTCATATTTTCAGGGAGACTTTTCACATACACGGACACACAAGGAAAGCAATTCAAAACGGAAAATCAAAATTAATCTTTACGATAATGAAATATTAGATACACTCTGCGATCTGGTAGCGTCTTAAGAAAATACACAGCCGGAGAGGAGAGAATATCCGACCAAAGATAGAAGCCTTAGACTGAATGTAACACTAACTGATACAATTGGGATAGTGTTTTATAACAAAAAAAGATTCACAGCTGGGGAATCTTCAATAGTCAAAGAAAATAGCTCTTATTACACAAATCCACAAGGGATATATGACACAATTTACAGCATTCCTTTTGATATCACTACGTTTCCCCTAGAACAGAAAAAATATATGTATAATATACATACACACGCACGTATGCGTATGTTTGTGTATAAATATAAATATAAATACATACATTGATTTATATATATACATACATATATATATATATATAATCAAACTTAATTATTAAATCATTCACTCATATGAACAAATACTAACAAGATATTATGATCGGCTATTGTAAGGGTTTACTGACAGTCAAGAGAGGTATGACAAGTTCCTGTTAGTCTCTTGGCATTCAGTAGGCCCGAATAGCTGGAATGTGACTGATTATAAACAGACAATGTTTCCCTGTTTTAATGACATTAATAAATAAAAGGATTTACATGTGAGCTCGAAAATTGAGCTCAGAGAATTATATGAATACTATCCTCGATTGGAAAGTTTAGAAGAACGTTAAAGTTCACTAGACAGTTGCTGTTTTTTTTTTATCCGCTCATTTTAAAATTAACCCGTGGTATGAAAGATCCAAGCTTTCATTTTCCCTTACAGTTATACACGTGGTTATAAGTTCTTTCTTTTTTATAAGCTAACGATTTTAATGCAACGAATAAAAGTTTATTATAACATCAATATTTGAATGCTTTGCGCGACCCGGATTTAATGCCACCCAGATTTTAACTAAATTTCTGTTCATGTTTTTTGTTTTTTTTTAAATTTTCACGTGAGCTAATATACGTCTACTGCTGGTCATTTTAACCAAGCTTTAAGTCCTCAGCTTTCTGACGTAAGGAGAAAGCAGTTTGAGCAGACATTACCCAAGGAACCATGAAAGAAAAAAATATATAAACTGTATCGACGGGAAAATAAAAAAGTTGTCACTTGAAGTCTTGGTCTAAATTGCTTACCAAGGGACGGTTGTGCATTATTTCACTCTTCTTCAATGTCAATGAATTATCCATACCTAGTAAATACTTCAAGTAGGATTATTATGCAGTTGGTGGAAGAAGTGGCGGCAAGAAACGAAATGTATAAGCCCCACACGGTAGGGTTTTTATAGACACATTGGCCGCCATTTTCTTCCACCGAACATGTGCGTGAAAAGTTTCTTTATATTTATCCTTACTTATATTTATAAATGCGAGTGACCTTTATTTATTCACTTATTTACTTTTTGCTCACAAGGTATGGAGAGGCAGGAAATATTCGTTGGATTTACACGATTTCCAAAATAAGGAAGGATTGTTACAAGCTGTTTTATTATTTTTTAATCAGATTTTTTTTATTTTTTTAGGGTGGGGGGGGTTGTTGATTCAGGGAAATGGATTCTCTGGAAGAACTGAAGAAAAAAATGTCTTATATAGTTTCTTTCTTCAATATTTTCTTTAGGGACTAGGATGCACACACAACAGAAGCATAAAATCTGTACACCTGTAGAAATGTATTCCATCTTACAGAAGAACTTGTGTTCCCGTAAAATGCCATTAGAAATTTAACCATTATCCTCATTACTCTCCCTCTCTCTCTCTCTCACTCTCTTTTCTCTCTCTCACTCTCACTCTCTCTCTCTCTCTCTCTCTCTCTCTCTCTCACGCAATTACATACTCACATTCGGGAAAAAAATAAGATATTACATACAATACGTACTGTACATTCGCTACCTGCAACACCAAAAATGTACACGAAATACTCATAATCTTCATGTTCTTACTCATAACTTAACGTACACCCAAGTCAGGTCTGTTGAGCCTGGGAAAATGGACAGGAGATAGTTCGAATCGTGTTTCACAAGTGTCTTTTGTTTTATTTATTTATCTTCACTCGAATTTGAAAATAACCTGAGATGATGATAATGCTGCAACGGATTCAGCTCACAAAAGGAAAGCGTCGCCTGTCTGGTAGCTCCCTTAAATGATCACTTAAAGTCTTTGGTTTATACACACTTAACACGGACACTCACTGACACAAATCAAAACACGAAGAAGAGCATACAGAACGGCATAATTAAAAAAAAAAAAAAAAGATCGAGCAATGCCCCTTTACAGACAAGGTTGAATTGCTTGTTAACCTATTTTTTTCCCTTTAATTAAGTATTGCGTTTGAGTCAGTGCTGTGGATCTGGAGTGTGATCTAAGGAGTTCTTGGCTTGGATATTTACGCTCGCCAACATGAGTTCATGTGGCTTGTAATTTACAAGCTTAGAGTGGCTAGCTAAACTGCTGGCGTCGTTCCTTATCCGGTATCGCCCGTTTCAACTATGTAGTAACTATTGAATTGGATTGCCGTACTCGCAACTGTCGATTTAAGCTGCGGAAAAACTCACAAACTGAATCATTGTTAATTAGGTTAACGAGACACTTGTACAATAAGATGTTAGCATCTTTCAACCTTCACATATTTCACAGTAATTCAATGGCGCAGGAGATTACACTTTGCATCACCCTAGCCAGGAAAAGAACATTACTATTCCTTTTACGTTTATAAACGAACGTTTCATTCATGTCTTCTCCAAAACTAACAGCTGACATCAAACGCTGAACGCAGGAGCCACTCTTCCCAGTGCTATTTGACAGACTGAACGAAATATTTTTTTTGTAGGCAAGCTCTCCAAAGGTTTTCCCTCTGGCTTGAACACTCAGGTCCAAGTTTTGAGGTTGACAATATTTAGAAACTTAATATGTACAGGAACTCCAAGTTCCTGGGAATTTATGGCATATTGTATATATATATCATTATATTATTAATATTTACAAATGCTAAGACCATTAATATACAGCAGAACCCTGTTATTTTGTACTATACAGGGTTCCCAA